TCTTCCAAAGCTGGAATAGTTGCTGGCTTATTTCTGTAGACTTTAGACTTGACGTAGCCCCACAAAAAATAGTCTAAAGGCGTCAAATCGCATGATTTTGCTTATTTACGAAGCCATTCAACCAGAAATGAGCCTCATCGCTGAACAAAATTTGTCGATAAAAAGGCGGATTTTCTGCCAACTTTTCACACATTCAACACATTTCGAACCGAACACTGATTTTGGTAATAAAATTCAATGATTTGCAAGCGTTGCTCGTTAGTAAGTCTATTCATGATGAAATGTCAAAGCATACTGAGCATCTTTCTCTTTGACACCATGTCTGAAATCCCACGTGATCTGTCAAATACTAATGCATGAAAATCCTAACCTCAAAAAAATCACCCATTATTATAATAACTAGGTCAGGTATACTCGACGCTGCGACCCAAAAAAAAGATCTGTTGTGCTAAGCACTAACTGTAGTCACTCCAATCTTAGGAAATTAAGCATATTGAGAAGATAATCGGGTTTATCAGTCTACGATTCACAATACGTGGGCAGTCACAAAGAATATTCTCTTCTGAGCTTTCCCCCACCAACCTACAAAACTTGCGGACCGTCTTTAGAGAAGGAACTATTTTGTTCAAATGATACCTTAACTTGCAGTGTCATGTCAGGTAACCTGTAAGAGTCCTAAGACTCCCCGCCTAATTTCAAGGAGACTTTCGAAGCTCATCCAGGAAAAGTTATGAATTTCTTTGATTTTCTCATTCTCAGAAGAGAGCAAAGAAGAGCGAGGCTTGTTTAAAGGCAAACATAGACGGGTCAAAGAGGAACTGGGCGTTTCATGGTCTCTGTCATATATGTAATACTTCTATATTGGCAGTAAGCTAACTTCTCAATGTGTAAGCATTCCGAAATCAAAGCGAGCCAGTCTAGTACCATTTTTGTCAATGTATTGTGTATTAGAGTTCTATGTGTGTCTTTTCTTTCGTACGTGTTTATTGATATATCTGTACTGTAGTGTCTTCGGACGGTACTAGCTCTTACTGCCAATATGGGAGTATTACATATATGGTCTCTGCGTATAGAGTAGACCTGCAGCGCGAATAGGCCACCCATATAATTGCACACCGCTGTCGCGTAGAAGCTAGAGAAGAAGGTATCGAATATTTGACGACAGGCAGCAAAATCAACGGACACGACGTCAATTGACACTATTTCGCATACTAGTGCGAAATAAAATCAATTGACATTATTACCTTTTCAAAAGCGAAATAAAATACGTTTACATTTTTGCTCCTTCAAACATTAAATTTGCATAGCTGCGCGGCGACCGCGCGCCACACCGTGTTGTGTTGATTAATAGCACTGAGCATTTGGCAATAACCTCTTTTAACTATGGAAACACTTACGGGGAAATATTTATTGTAACAACATTCATCTCTTACGTACGATGCAAGCACATTTCTTTATTCGAATCGACATACTTTAAGCATTGTGGACGCTATTTCCATTTTAATTACAAAATATCGTCATTTATTTTGTTTCCAAATTTTCGTTGACTTTGTTGCTCTTTTGAAAAGGTAATAACATCAATTTATTTTATTTCACATCACTATAGAGAGCAGTGTCAACTGACGTTATTTCCGTTGATTTTGTTACCTGTCACCGAATATTTTCTTAGTCAATGCCCAGAGGTAGCAGCTATTAGACATAAAGCATTTGGAAGACACATACTACCAAAATCAGGTTATATCGGAAAATTTTTAAAGGAATGGAGATAGTTTGGCCGGGAAATCTTGATATTTGTAGGCAGTTTATCTAACTCCCAAGAAAAGTGCATAAAAATGGCGCCAAAGAAGCGAACATTGTCCTGGTGGTAAGTTAGTAGGAAGCACTGCTACCTAATAACCAGAAGCAGGAGCTTACTGCTTTGTACCAGATATTTGGGCGCCATTTAAGCTATCGGAACACTTTAAGCTGATATTTTGGCAATAATGAAATTAGCGAAGACACTGCAGGAGATATATTCGCTGAGCAAGTAGATAGACTTTCACGTTGATGGTAAAGTGGGAACTAAGACCCTACTTTCGTATAGCTAATACATATCTCTTTGAATACTATCATTGATTGTAAAAAAGCAAAGATAGCCTCCGTTAGCCACGG